TTTATTCTGCTTCATAAAATAATAAAAAAAAGCTTAAAATCCCGACTACAGAGGCCTGTATGAGGAAATGTCCCCATCCATTGGACAGACTATCGGAATTTTATAATCTATATATATAAAACTCAAAGGTGACTGACTGACATAGTGATCTATCAACGCACAGCCCAAACCACTGGACGGATCGGGCTGAAATTTGGCATGCAGGTAGATGTTATGACGTAGGCATCCGCTAAGAAAGGATTTTGATCATTTCCACCCCCAAGGGGATAAAATAGGGAATGAAAGTTTGTATGAAACTTTGTCAATTTTAAATCGATCGGGCTGTGACTTTGCATGCAGGTATAAGAAGATTCATAGATGAATGTCATTGTGTATATTACAAGCCTGAGAACAAAAACTGTAGTCTACACTTCAGCTCTACACCGAAGCGAAGCGAGGGCGGGCCGCTAGTTACACATAAAAATAAAGCAATAAAACTGTGGACACAGACACGAAAGTCTTAATCTATAAATGTACACTTAATTTTCACACGACAAAAACCGTTACAAGCATAACATAAATATAGGTAGACATATGGAAATTTTGCATAGCTTTGCTCTGGCTGGCGTTGACAATGACTAAATATTCGCATTGTACCACTGTCCACAATTTGGCGGACCTCACCAAAGTGGGGAGGGGGGTGGGGGGGGGGGCTGAATACCCCCCCCCCCCCCCCCAAAGTGCTTCGTCGCTGCTTCAAATTACGAAAAAGATTACAGCAATCTGCAGCGAAGCGGGAAGGTTTAATTCTTTCGACATTTTCAAGGGACGGATTCTGAAGGGATTACTGAGGTGATTGCTTTTATTTTTAACTTGAGACAAAGCATAAATTGTGCTTTGTAATTTATGCAAACAATTGGTTTTTGTTTTGGTAGACCAAGAATTAAATAGCTGGTAACGTTATTACAAATTTTAATCAACTTTTTTAATTATGTTTTTATTTTTTTAAGCATTTTACTGATAGATGTTTAAATCTAAAGATAAGTTTTACTAGGGAAGGGTGGGTACCTACAATGCGAAGAGATGGCGCTGACTTGCAGCTTAATGCTAGGAAAATTTCGACGCGGCCATCAGGGCCGTGTTAGCATAATTGTTCAGTGCATTTGTCCGGATTGTGGAGGGTGCGGGTTCGAGTCCCGTCCGCAACTTTTTTGAAGTTATACTTCTTTAGCCGCGTTATGAAAAAATTATGAGAGTGAAATTTTAAGATGCGCGCGGAACACCTGTAACATAAAAGTAACATAATGAAGTTAGCCGCGGGCGCGTTATGAAAAAATCATGTGAGTGAAATTTCGAGATGCGCGCGCATCACTGTAACACAATAGTAACACCATGAAGTTGGCCGCGGGCGCGTTATGAATGTTAGTGTCTAATAATGGTGGATTATTAACCACATCTGTTCGAAAGGTACTTTGAACGATCCACGGAGCTCCATAAGATGATCGCGTTGTCAAAAACAATGTTGGCACGCTCGTCGCCTCTGATCACTGTTTTCATATTTATAATATTTATCCACATGTTTCTAGTTTCTATATAGACACAACGTGTTTTAGTTACTTACAAGTGCTAATTACATATGGACTAATAACTTAAATTCAGTAGTGATTTTAATTGAATATTTTGAATATTTATTTAATTTTTCAAATTAAAACTGAACTTAATTGACTGTGTTAACTATCCTTTTCCAGTCCTTTTATTATTTTATTGTAATTATTAATTATTTGCATGCAATTAAAAAATATTTTTAATGATGCTTAAGAAGTATAACTTCTCACGCGCGTACATAAGTTACACGCATCCATATTTTTTTTAATGTTATGAAATGCTTAAATTCGAAATGGAGAATCGAAAATTATTCTCTGTTAAACATTCCTAGTAGAAAGCTATTTATTGTGATTTTCTTTGTTTGTACGCAATTATTTATTTGAAGCATTTGATTGCGTGATATAAATACAAAAACACTGTATGTATCTACTTTTTTGAAGTGATAACTTCTTATGGGAGGGTAAACCGCTTCGTTACGTAACGCGTTACGGCGCCGGTCTGTCTGGGTTCCCTTCCTGTCACGCATACGGCAGTGGTAGGCAGGCACCTCCTCTCTCACTCTAACCCGCAGCGCAGCTAAAGGCTACCATTCACAGGCTCGCCCATCGCGGCTCGGCACGATACAAGTCCGTACTTGTGTGTGCTTGCACAGATTATCGGTGAACTGCATCCCTCATCAAAGTTTTTTCTCTTTCTATATAAGGCGTCACTAATCTCAATAATTCCAAGAAAGAAATCAGGTGGTTTACAGGACTGAATGCATTGCAGCAATTATAAATGAGTATATTTTGTTCGTTGTTTCAGCCATTCCTTTGTTCAGACGCGCTTTTTCTTTTTTTTTCTCCGTTAAAAGTATTGCACCGACTACTAAAGCGACCTTTGTGCGTTTGGAAAGCACCGGTGGCATGGTAGGGTAGGGAAAAACGATACGCGCGAGGCTCACCAAAGTACAGAAGCGACTGGACTGCAACTCGGCGCTCGTGTAGTGTGTGGGCAATGACGGATTTATTGTTTTAAACTTTCATGGTCACTAACATTATAGATATTAACGGGATTGTTACCATGTACCTTGTTTTTTATGAGTCTCCGATATTTCGGCACTGTTGCAAGCGCCATGATCACGGAGTAACTGAAGTAATTGCGGGTAGATGTTATTGGCAGACATATCGGTCTACCCTCTGACGTCGTCTTTTACTGCGTTCGATACTACCACTACCATTGGTCACATTCTCACTATTCACTCGCATTTGTTCCCGGCACACAATACTCACAGTATCAGATCGCGGAACGACACTTTTTTGATTTTTGCGGTTTTTACACATACGAACCACTGGATTCCACACACTAGACAATTTAAACCCATCCTCACGATTGAAATTCTTGTATTTGGTTATTTCAATCGCTTCCCTGACCAATCTTGGTTTATACCAAGATTGGTCAGATTGGTCCCTGACCAATCTTGGTTTATATGGTAACAATCCCGTTAATATCTATAATGACGGATTTGTCTACAAATGGGTACGGCTCGGGGTTCGGCTCGCGGTGCGTGTAGTGAATGGTGGGCTTAAGTCATCACTTTTGTCGTGCGTCCCGAGACGCACAAACTTTTTTCATAAATAGGTCCAGGTGACTCTACCCACCCTGATAGTAAGTGACTGTGGAGTCCAGACGCGAAGATAGCTGGTACAGAAGTGTTAGCTGCCACACCAGCCATCCTCTTACTTACTTTTGTATTATCATGCTAAGTATCTGGGTGTTTGTCATTATTATTTTATTTGTATCATACAAGTACTATTAAGTAATTGTTTCATTTAAAACAAAAGGCTTTTGATGATGCCCTTCAAATGTTCACTTCCAAAGATTTTGTATTTTTTTTACCAACGAAAAATGGAGGAGATTCTCAAGACTACGCGTATATATTTTTTTTATGTATGACCACGAACCACGCATTACTTTTTACAGAGTAAACCATTTTTAATAATTCTTTTTTTTATTGGAAAAGCGATTTTGTTGTGTGTTACCTCGAAGTTGGTCCCATATAGATTTGAAAAAATCCAATCCTAAGGGTATGAAAACAGATATGATTGATTGTTCACTCACTAATTGTAATAGGGTATTTGACAAGTTTTAGAAAACGATCTCTCGTTATTGACTAATGTTTATGGAGTGGAAAAGTTGATATTCATCATTCTGTTGTGTATTTCTATAAAAAGAACCAAATCAAAAGCTCCATTTTCAAGTTGCCGCGAAAACGTTTCTCTGGACAATATGGCGTCTTACTAGTGTGTGACGTCACACGACTGTTATTAAAACGTCAAACGATACAATGTAATGTCACTTCAACCGGAAGTTTACTTGCGTGTGACGTCATTTTAGGGTTTCAAAATTATGAATGTTTTTTGTAAAAATAGTAAAAACCCCTGCCAATATTCATTCTAAATACAGATGCTAACAATTGGAACATTTTTTTAAATTTATTTATTTATATCACATTGCTCATGTACATTTTTTATTATAAGGTCTTACATACTTAATAGAGAGTGGTACATGACCCCGTTGGGGTGTTGCAACAAACTTAAGCTTAACATTAAATACATTAATTTCACTTAATTTTTGATCATATTAAATCACATCAGGTCCAACCAAATTTAAACAAAATCAATCCATTTTAAAAATTAATCATTTTTCTTACTGTCTTTATTTTTGATACTGTCAAATACCCTATTTGTTATGTATGACCACACATAACTTTTTACAGAGTAGTCTGATTTTGATAATTATTTTTTTTGTTAGAAAGGGTATACCCCGCCGTTGGTCCCATATGAATTTAGAAACAAAAATCCTACCCTAAGGGTGGGAAAATAGGATATGATCTCGGATTACTGCTGTACCAGCTAACTTCGCGTTTGGACTTTATCACCACTTAACATCAGGTGGGGTAGAGTAATTTGCCTACCTAGTTATAAAAAAAAACCTAGGGGTGTGTTCACCAACAGATTTTGATGCCGAGTTGTATATTACAAAAATTAAAGTCATAAAAGATTATAAAAAAAATGGTTGCCTGTAAAGTCGGTTTTACGGGCGAAGATTTTACGTGACAACGTCTTTTTCTCGGTAGAATATTTATTGATATGAATATAATTAAATTGCACAATAGGAACAAGGAATTGAATGAAAATAAGAATTGCACAAATTTTAACTATAGAAATATATTTTGTTTACTAAAACATTGTACATGTAAACTTTAACTTAACACGAGAGACTCATCGTAACGTTACCGAGCGTTACACTTTTTCATAAGTGACTCCCAGCCGCAACCTAATTTAAGACGTTGTCACGTCAATAAAAACTTTTTAACACTAACTTTGAACCGCCGAAAAGCAAATAATTATAAACTTTTTTCTCTTTAATTTAATTTATATTCGGTCGGAGTCGGTGCCATGCATGTCTGACAGATCTGAGTTCCCATTTGTTACTTGTGTTGGCATGACACCGATTCCAAACATCATTTTGACTAAAGAAAAAAGTTTTATTATTTTTAACTTTTTGGCGGTTTTAAAGATTTTTGTTAAAAAGTTTTATTTATAAAGTGAAAAATCTCAGTTCGTCTCTGCGTGCGAGGCGTAAGCTGTTTATTTTATTTCGGCATCGTGGAACTGCATGTTTTCAAGTACTTTTGCAGTCTGAAAGAAATAACTCCCTAGATTAAAACCCGGTTTTTATTAGAACTAATTCAAACTCCACGCAATTCATGTCGTTAGACGAGATAAGGGGACCTCCTTTCAGTTCTTTTTCTGTGCAGATTTTTTTTACATCTACAATTTCGACTTCAATGTAATAAAGTACAGATTTACACAAACTATGATTTTTCTATGACTATGTGATACTTTTTTCAAAATCATTTTACGAAAGAAACCGTGTGAGATTCCTTAAAGGTATTATAGGGTAATGCATGAGATATTTATTAAATAAGATAAAAATAACGTAATAAACACTGAAGAAACTATAACTAGAAAAAATGAAACGCGGACCAGGCAGCAGACGGGGACCCGAACCAGCACCCTTCGCAATCAGGGCGAATGCACTGACCTATTATGCTACCGCGGCCCTCACGGACCGCGTCAAAATTCCTCTAGCCATTCTTAAGCTGCAAGGCAGCGCCATCTCTTCGCATTATAGGTACCCACAATGTCAAATGAATACTTTTACAAGTATTAAACATTTGAAAGAAGAAATAGCAATTATAGTTCTAATTACCTTATAGTGCTTACTTTGGGGCTAGGCTAATTGGTGTGTGTGTTGGAAATATTTATTTATTTATATAGAAATACATATTAAACATCCATGACTGGAGTACAAATGCCCGTGTTCATCACACTAACATCTGCCCCCACCGGGATTTGAACCCGGGACCTCTCGAGACGGCGACACCATGAAACCCGGCGTACAAACCGCTCGGCCACTGAGGTCGTCAAACATTATGGAAGTTAATTTCGTAATGGCGGTCAAAGGTATGGACCATAAAATTTTCATCTCGAGCTCCTGTGATAACATTTTTCAATCACCTTTATGCTATTTTGTTTACAAGAATGGGAATGAAAGCTCTTAAAATGAAAAACAATCACATAATTGATTTTTTATTTTATTTACAATAGTGTGTAAAATGGTTAAAAAGGAGTCGATGTTTTGTTAATAATTGGTCGAAGAGATGGTTTCAAATTGGAAAAGGTTAACAATAAAGAATATTCAGATTGAGTTGGTAGAAAATTCAATGTCGGCTATTTTTATTCTTTTAGGTATTATGGTCCTATACATGTATGCTACTAAGGGTTTTTGGGACTCCATTTCACGTAGACTTCGCCTGTTTAATAAAGAGAAACATGATTAAAACAATAGCAAACTCGCAGCATATTCAGAGACAATGGTCATCACATCATAATAATATCTATATATATAAAACTCAAAGGTGACTGACTGACATAGTGATAACGCACAGCCCAAACCACTGGACGGATCGGGCTGAAATTTGGCATGCAGGTAGATGTTATGACGTAAAGCATCCGCTAAGAAATGATTTTGATCAATTCTACCTCCAAGGGAATAAAATAGGGAATGCAAGTTTGTATGAAACTTTGTCAATTTTAAACCGATCGGGCTGAGACTTTGCATGCAGGTATAAGAAGAATCATAGATGAATATCATTGTGTATAATACAAGCCTGAGAACAAAAACTGTAGTCTACACTTGAGCTCTACACCGAAGCGAAGCGAGGGCGGGCCACTCATCTATACTTATAATAAATCTGTAGAGATGTCAATTCTGTACATGAAATATATTTTTAAAATAACTATCAGGGGGTGATTAGTGATCGATACTGATGCCAAAAATGCAATCAGTAAATTTTTTGTCTGTCTGTCTGTCTGTCTGTCTGTGTGTATGTTCCTTATAGAAACAAAAACTACTCGACGGATTTTAAACGAAACTTGGTACAATTATTCTTCATACTCCTGGGCAGGTTATAGTATACTTTTCATCACGCTACAGTCAATAGGAGCAGAGTAGTGAAGGAAATGTTGGGAAAACGGGAGAAGTTACTCCATTTTTTAAGCTTCCGTCGCGTGTGCAGCCTTAATGGTTAAAGTTACATAGAAATCATGTATGACGGAAATATTCTACATAAAATTGTCTAGAAAATATCCCGCAACAGCATATGTCTATCTTTTATGGTTGACTCACAATAACACGTGTAACTCCTGACAGCTTAGCAGTTCGGAGCATTCTGATTATATTTGTTTACTCTTACGTTTATAATACTCTCACTCATCCCTAATTTAAAAAAGTTATCATTATTACCTATTCAATAAAAAGAGAATCATAGAAATCGGTATAGAAACACCAAACTTATACATGAAATAAGTCATCGCGCCGTCGCACGTAAATACTGAATCATGCTATAAGGATTATTTTTGTGTAACGGTTGCCGCGCTCGACATGGGTCGCGGCGGCGGTAGGTATAAGAAGAATGCCATTGTGTATAATACAGGCCTGAGAACAATAACTATAGTCTTCAGCTCTACACCGAAGCGAAGCGAGGGCGGGCCACTAGTAATGAATAATAAGGAAAAGTCCTTCCCTATGGATGGAATAAAGAGATTGGGCCGTGACACACCACACGGCCCCAATGCGGATTGACGGGTTCTAAGGACAGCAGATGCAGCCGGGACCAACGGCTTAACGTGCCTTTCAAAGCATGAAAAACTCGAGGTAGAAGATTTTTGGTCACCCATCAAATGACCGATCACTGCGAAAATTACTTCAACTTTGAAACATTGAGGTTGGTCATTGATCTATCGTATACTGTAGATCAAGCTTTTTGCAATGGACCATTAAATTGTTTCTCTAATAAACCTATAACCTATGGGCGTGTGTACAGAATACGCATGTCAGAAGTGAAACGGATTTTCATAATAATATAACATAATTACATAATTTAAGAAAAAACAGAAAAGTGCGTCCCTTAATATTTAAAATTGTCGCACTGAAATCTGACGCTCAAATCGTGACGCGGCCTTGTAAAGTCACCCTCATCGGGCGCGAAGAAGTTTCACTTCAATAATATATCGATAGATCACGTAAAGCGGCCAACTGACATGCCTGCCGCAGGGACAATTGTGTGTTCGGGGGTATGTTGAGCTAAACACACGCGTTGATGATGGTCCCAGTGTTATCAAAAATCAGAAGATCGGTAGGCAGGGCCTTGGCTTGTTCTATGGTGTTAACGCAAAAAAGGAAATATTGGGTGAAGAATTAGCAAAAAAATGTATTGTAAATAAGTAATCTTTATATTACTAGAAAAAAATCCACGCGGACCTGGCAGCAGACGGGACCTGCACCCTTCGCTATCCAGGCGAATGCACAGATCAATTATGCTACCGCGGCCCTGAATGCTGTATCAAATCTTTCTAGCCTTTCTTAAGCTGCAAGGCAGCGCCATCTCTTCGCATTATAAGTAACCCACAATGTCAAATGAATACCTTTACAAGTATTAAACATTTGAGAGAAGAAAAAGCAATTAAAGTTATAATTTTAATTTTTTAAGCATGTAACTGCTCAATGTTTGAATCTAAAGAAAATATTACAAGAAAAAATTAAAAAAAAAAACACTATTTCTATTTTTCTAGTAATATTTTCTTTAGATTAAAACATCGAGCAGTTACATACTTAAAAAATAAAAATTATTTAAAAATATATATAAATGATCTTTATTTTTTTTATCCCACATGTGGGGTCGGTCTTTATATACTTCGATCACTCGTGTCCAAACTTCATGCTCATTATGATCTGCCGCCATCTTGATCGAAATACGGGCGCTCCGTATGCCAGCTACCAACTGACTGATTGAGAAAATGCCCGAATCGCGATACATACTCGGCAACGTGCAGGGCGGCAGGGACAATCTAAGGACCAAAGGTGGTCCTGCCGCCCTGCCGCAGGCCCGATTTAGAAAATTGCCTCTATCCCCACTCTTACACCCTATTGTCCCTGCGGCAGGCATGTCAGTAGGCCGCTTAAGCTTCCCGTGTATTTGTGTTCGAAATAGTTCGTCGTCTTGTCGTTAATAATGTGGCTGACGGAAATACTTTGTTATCTGAATTCTGTATAGTTTCCGAACTATAACATAAGCTTAATGCAAGTTGTCACTAAGGCAGTATTGATTGGCAATTAAGGATGAGGATTTGCCTCTCGATGTTACCTATAGCATACAGTAAAACAACGTATACCTTAAATTGTGTTTTGGTGGTTCCGTGTTTCTGTAACTAAATATCCGTAAATGGAATGCTCTGCCCGCTCACGTGTTCCCTCCCTCTTACAACCTGGGATCCTTTAAAAGAGGCGTGAAGAAGCAACATGCAGGCCGGCAGGGTGAGGATGGCCGGTGTGGCAGGTAGAACTGCTGTATCAGCTATCTTCACGTCTGGACTTCACCTTCACTTAACATCAGGTGGGGTGGAGTCATTTGTCGGACCTATCTATAAAAAAAATAAGATTCTTTGTGGCCAGAAGTAGGAGATTGTGTTCAGGGCAGTAACATGGGCACAGCTGGGAGTGGCTTGACTCTACCTACCCAAATACACCACAGAGATAACTAAAAACTAATTTTCGACGGGTCACCAACCAGGACTTTTTTTTTAGTGTGTATGCTGTTGGTCGCAGATGACCTTTACAGTGTCACCGAGTTTGGGGACGGCGAGGTCCTAATGGGACCTCAAGCCGAGAATTGACGAGTGCCTCTAGAGGTATTCCAGACGGATGGTATCTCGCCACGGGGGGAGTCTCCTCTCCGTCTGGAGCCTCTAGACCACTCGAACCTGAGGGGGTCGGCTCTACTAGAGGGCGTCTCTGAGACTCGGTTAGTCTCTAGTTAGCCGTTGTCGTAGGGGCGAGGAAAAACACCCAGGTACGTAACTGTACCTGGTAAAGCCACGGGTGCACATCGTAAGCCACACTTCTTTGGTGCCATTGGGAACCTGTAAATCCGGGCTTGCTCACACTTTAAATCCGGTAGATGATTAGATGGTTACCTGCATCTTATATTAAAAAAAACTTCAGTAACTTAACATTTATTTAAGCAAGGATATTGAATAAAAAAATTAAGGTAAAAAAAACCTTTTTAAAAACAAGCTTCTATTCAAATGCGCTAAAAAGAAAAAAAGAAAATTTCAACTAAATTAGTTAAAGATATCTGTTTCTAAATAGATTTTCAAATTTCAGAAGTCCGCCATATTGGATTGAGAGTGACGTCACATTTTTTAGAGTTACTCTCAGCAAGCCCTTTAATTTGATACCCATATTGTAGGAATGCATTAAAAATGATTGGTCCGCCATTTTGGGTATGCCGCCATATTGGATTTAGAATGACGTCACACTGTTAATCATGCATTGTCATCCCAACTGAACGAGCATATCAAATTACAGCTTAATCGGTTGAGAGCAAGTACTTTAAAATTGAGTTGTAAGATTTGACCGTAACAAACATACATAGCAAGTTAAATAAAAGCTTGTAATAAAAATATGCAAAATCTTACCGTACTGATCAACTGAAAATATCAAAAAGTTTCGTAATCACAATATCATTATTTGCATAGTATAAAACAAAGTCGGTTCCGTTGTCTTCACGCTTAGATCTTTGAAATTACGCGACGGATTTTAATGAGTTTTCGGCAATAGAAAGAGTGATTCATACAAATGTAAGGCACTCAATGCATGTCTGAGAACAAAAACTATAATTTACCGAAATGCAACAAAAGTGGATTGTTAATTAGTTATAAAAAATAAGTTTCGTTGGATATCTATCTACCTATTAAATATTTAATAGTTAACTCTACTGTTATTTTATCAATTATTAAAAACAATTACACAAATACTACTTTCTTAAACAAAAAATCGGTTGTCTGTAAAGTCGGTTTACTGACGATAGTTGAACGTGACAATGTTTTTTACAATGTACATAGTTTTTACAAGTATGAATGTGCTTTGAGCAATTCTTTTACAACTTCTAAACATGTGTTATATCATTAACTTTATTGCCGGAATTATCGTTGCTATAAACCAGCTATACTCTAAGTGTGTTCCGCGGAACCCTAGGGTTCCGTGATACCTCTGTCGGGGTTCCGCAAGAATTTAGAAATAAAAAAATCAAAACACCTCTCTCTGGTCGCTCCGCGGCTGTGCGGACTCCGCGGCCGCGCGGAGACAAAACGCTATGAATGTTATTTATTTATTTATTTGTATTTGTATAAGCTTGTGTTACATTAGCTGGTACAATATCTCATAAGTTTGGTCTCAACAATTTTATACTTGTACAACGCGTTCGCTCTAAGTTTGCCGGTCTGTGGAATGCGCGTACCCTCCCCCACGTGACAACAAAACTTATAATGTGTCATAGTTTTACCCAAATATCTAACGTACACAATTTTTATTGTTACAATTAAATAAAAAATTTCGAACGTCATACACTCATACCTATCGCCAGCGGCAAACTTAAAACGAGCGGGTAGTATACTTGTAAGCGCTCAGTCTCTTTGATAAAAGCCGCCTCTGAATTAGACGCTATAGTTGTCAACTAGCGACTTTCGTCTCTAACTTCAAAGGATAAAGTCGATATTGTTTACAACGCTATTTTTAAATTTCTGTTTTTATTTTTGCTTTTTGTTTATCAAAGGTGCCGACTCGAGTATTTTCGAGAATATTTGAGATCGAGTCTAGGACTAAGTATAAAAGCGGCGATCGCGCGTTGGCGTCGTCAGTTGATGATTAGCGTTCGGAGCGATAAGTTACTACCTACTTACAAGCTCGCTAGCGAGAAACTGGTGTTCATTGTTTTACTGCCTGCTGTATTCTGTTGTCTCAGTTTTATACATTTCTTCCCTGTAGGTTCTAAATTTAGTCTCTTATACGCAGTAACGATTGTGCATTATTTAAACCCCACTATCCTGACTTGTAACATTATAAATAAAGAAGAATGGAACGTTGGCTTAAAGGTGTTAAACGTGTTCCAACAACATCTTCTAATGACGCTGAATGTTCAAAAGCAATGCGCGCGGAGAATTTAGCAATCACCGATCCAGAAGATGATGCCACGAGTGCCACGACGTCAAGCTCGACGGTTTCAAAGACGAAAAAAAGGAAGTATGATGAATCTTATATCAGTTTCGGATTTGTTGATTCCAACGGCTCACCTCTCTGCATGCTCTGTAGTAAACTGCTTCCTAATAGTTCCATGGCACCTGCCAAATTGCGTCGACATTTAGAAACCGTACACCCCGAGACTAAAGACAAGAATAAAGAATTTTTTGTTCGCAAAAAAGATCAGTTATTAGAAAGTCAAAAAAATATGATGCATGTAACACAAACTACCAACGAAAAGGCCACGGAGGCATCATACTTAGTTAGCTATCGCATTGCACAAGCAGGTGAAGCGCACACTATCGCTGAGAAATTAATAAAACCATGTGTATTAGACATAACAAAATGTATGCTTGATGAAAAATCTGCAAAGCATCTTTCTACTGTTCCGCTATCAAACGATACTGTTTCACGACGAATCCATGATCTGGCAAGCTACGTCAAACAAGAACTAGTTACACGTCTACAAAATACACGATTCGCTTTGCAAATGGACGAGTCGACTGATGTCGCTGGTTTGGCTATCCTGCTGGTTATTGTGAGATATCCATATAAAAGTTCTTTTGAAGAAGACATGCTTATGTGTTCATCGCTGCTTACAAACACTACCGGGGAAGAAATTTTTAATAAAATAAATATATTTTTTGAAGAACATAATCTCAGTTGGAACAATTGCATTGACATTTGTACAGATGGGGCCAAGGCGATGACAGGTAAAACAGCAGGAGCAGTGTCACGAATGAAAAATAAAGCGCCTAATTGTAGTTCCAGTCATTGTATTCTGCATAGACAAGCACTTGCGATGAAGCAAATGCCGTCTAATCTAAAATTAGTTATGGATGAAGCGGTAAAAATAATTAATTTTATCAAATCACGACCACTACAATCCCGATTGTTCTCATTATTGTGTGAAGATTATGGCAGCAAACATAAAACACTGCTGCTCCATACAGAAGTGCGATGGCTGTCTCGGGGAAAAACTTTAACAAGGCTATTTGAACTTAGAGCCGAGTTACAAATGTTTCTTTCAGCAGATACTTCTTTTAATTTGAAGGACCGTTTGTATGATAAAACTTGGTTGTTCCGATTGTCTTTTATGGCGGATATCTTTCAAAAACTTAACGAATTAAATTTATCATTGCAAGGTAAACAGACAACAGTGTTTCAGGCCTATAATAAAATAACTACTTTTAAAAGAAAATTAGATTTTTGGATCATTTGCATTGGTAAGAAAGAAATAGAAAGTTTTACGTTACTCACTGAGTTTGTTAGCGAAAACGACTCAGAAATGTTTGAAGATAATGTGTTTGAAGAATTGGTCCAATATCTCAGTTCGATGCGCGCATCTTTTGAAAAGTATTTTCCCGAAGAACACAATACAAAAATTAAAGTGAACTCCTGGATTCATAATCCTTTTTTACCCAACTTGGAAAAGCCTGAAAACATGTCAAATGAGATATATGAATCTCTTTTAGAAATGTCATCAGACACAAGTATGGAGTCATTGTTCAAAACGACGCCTCTTAATGATTTTTGGTGCAGAATCCAAGATGAATATGCAATGCTTGGCCAAATGGCTCTGGATATTCTTCTCCCGTTCCCAACTACATATTTGTGCGAAACAGGATTCTCTACCTACGCAGCCACGAAAACAAAATATCGCAATAGACTGGACGCCGAAGCTGATATGAGACTCCAACTTTCTTCCATCAAACCTGATATCAAGCAATTGATGAAAAATAAAAAACAGTTTCATACCTCCCACTAGTTAGATTTTTTCTTTTTTAATGTTTTCTATTATTGTCCTTACCAAGTGGTGAAGTAAATAATAATTAGTAACGGATACATTGTACTTTTATTATGCTGATTAATATAGAATACACTTATAAAAATAATTGTTTTATTGTAGGGTTCCATCAAGTATTTTGCTTCCCAAAAGGGTTCCGTCATTTAAAAAGTTTGAGAACCACTGCTATAAACAATTGACACCACATTCACTTTTCACTGCACTTCATACTTGACGAAAACATAAAAATGTATTATTTTATAGCAACTGTCCACGCGGACGCATCGTTCACTCAAGTAGGAGAGAGACAGATGTCGAACGTTGCCGAACGCGGAGGCCGATTATGCCTCTTTGTCGCTCGTTACGCGCTCACGTTTGCACTTCAAGTCTTAAATGGAACGCTTCAGAGCGAGGTAACGCCAGATGAGTCATGTTTTTTCGTGCGTCCAGTCGGCTCCATCGAATTATAAGACGTTGTCACATCAAAAAACTTTAATAAATATAATATAATATAATAACTAAAACTTAAAAGGAATCCCTTTAGTCAAGGTTCCGAAGATACTGGCAGCGTTCCCCCTTTGAATAGTTAGACTAATTCTTTGTCCGAGATAGCTGCCAGGCTCTTTGGTTGTAAAATATATTAATGAAAAATTTATAAAATTACCATCGATGTCCTGAATCTGCACTTTCCTAAAATCTTCTACAACTGAAATACAGATATGACATAAGTATATTATTGTAAATATGTAAAATAATTGTGTTATTACAAATAAGTAAGTCGGTTGATTGTAAAGATCGTGATGTATTTCTACTGATAAAGAGTAAGTTAGTTGATAACCACTTTTAAATTAGAAGATTGTGAATTTAATATAAATTATTAGCTTTATGTATTTCCTTTGCTATAATTAATTAAATACGATTTTCAGAATGACTTACAATGTAATAAAGTATGAACTGATTATAGAGATTATTAAACGGAAGTACGCCACTGAGGCGAAGTTTAGTTTTTTTTAGAAAATAAATGTGACTCCCCACCCATATTAGTTTTGCTCGTTGTTCGCCTGCGAGCGACAGGCAGTATTAAAGTGTCTTCGGTAGTGTAAAGTTGAAAAGTGTCGGTAACTACTATGCTATAACTGTGCCTATAATTAAAATAATTGTCGGAATTCAAAGTGTTTTTCTACAAGTCCTACATTATGATTGTAGTTCCTTGTTTAAAAATAATTACAATATTTACTAATAAACCGGATTTCCTTTCAAGCTTTCCAAATAAATAAATAAATACTTTTGATAGGCCTTCACAATGCAGTCGTTAGCACCCACTAAATAGAGATTCTATTTCTATTTTGTTGGTAGATTTTCTTAATGTGCGGTAAACACAAAAGTAACACAAAAGTCGCTTTAGCGACCAACTTCATGCTGTTAAAATTTTGTGTTACAGTGATGCGCGCGCATCTTAAAATTTCACTCTCATCATTTTTTCATAACGCGCCTAAAGAAGTATAACTTCAATAAATAAATCAGCTACTACGTATTGATTATGTTGTGTTAATGTCTGTAAATTAGGTTCTAGGGCTCTCCATGGGGTAGAAGATAGGACGAGAGTAGGCAACGCGCGAGAAATATTTTTGGTATCGCCAGGGCCGTCTTTAACCTAATTAAGGCACGGTAATATTATCTATACAGTATTGTGACTCCGCCCTGTCCTTGAAAATAAATGCCTACACCGAACGCTGCGTTGGAATACAGTATTTTATGTAGTTTTGTTTTTAACGCGAGTGTAGGTAGATTACTCGTTTGTCTCTTTTTTTATCCTAACCACTTATTTATATATTATTCCAGATATTTTGCCCGATGGAAAAACCGAAATACCTAAATATTAGAAACAAATAACGTACTAGTAGATAGGTATATAAAATATATTCTATAAATGTAAGACACCTTTCCAATATTTCAGGTAATTTAAAAAATGATATCTCTGGGTGTGTTATTGAAGAGTTCAAGCAACCCAAAAAACAGCAATTGTGCTGTTGTACGTTATTGATCGTCGTTTGTTCTTTTCCATACTAAATTATGTAGGTATCTACTTAATTAAATCAAATATTTACAATACAAAACGCACGTTTAAGCACGGCTAACTGCATAAAAAGCAATTTAGACCGTTCGGTCGTCGTCGCGGCGCGGCGGCGCATTCGCGACTGGGTGCCCGCCGAGAGCCCATCGAACTCGAGTGACGTAGGTAAGACTCGCTTTCCGACCGTTTGTATGAAGATAGAATACTGTATGATATTATTACCGTGCCCTGGGCATATTAGGATAATGGGGCCCCTATGACTGTGATATGAATTATGATTTGAAATGGAGCGAATCATACTGATGAGTGTACTACTGATGATTTTTCTTTAAAATGTGTATGTGCTTAGTATACCATAATTTATCTAAGCATGCTGAAGTCGTAAAGCCTAATTTTTGGGCGAGAGTAGCTTCGCTTATGTAAAAGCTGGTAAGTTGGTATTGTAGTCAGTAATTTAAGTTCGATTTCATCGAATTATATAAGTTTTTTTGTAATAAATATTGGTTATCGTTTGGTGATCTAACAGGAACTAGGGACTTTGTATTTGATCTGAGGGGGGGGGGGGGCTATCGATCGCGGGGCCCTGGGCACTTGCCCAAAGTGCCTACTGAGAAAAAGGGGTCTGGGTATCGCAAGAGTCTATAATCCATGGTAGCCGCTTACCACCAGGCAGGCCACATGCCTGTTTTCCATCCTTTTAGCATAGAATAATAATTTATAGGCAACCGACAGAGCCATCTATTAGAGGACGGTGGTACTAACCATAACACAGTCCTGCCACCCACAGACAACGCCCGTAGACTGCCCCTACGGCTAAATAGAGTGCCCACTGTGAAAGACGGGTCTGCCTAGAGGTATATGAGTAGAGTAGGGGTGATATGTACTGTACTACTAGTGGAAGTATCCGTCTAGTAGAAAGAGAAAGAAGATGAGGGACGGCTAGCTATCTCTCTCTCTTGTGACGCTGCGCAGTCCTGTGATTGGTCGGTATTGCTGCGCAGTCGGGTGATTGGTCGGTATTCATCCGTAGGTTATTCACCCAATGCGCATTCGCGATTAGAGAGAAATGGCTAGCTGTCTCTCATCTTCTTTCTCTTTCTACTAGACGGATACTTTTAGAGCCGCCTTCCCCACTATATTCTTATACCTCTATGGCAGCTACCACCGCGTTTTGTTCAGCGCTAGAGTTACGTACCGCGACCTGTACCTAGTAATTCTTATTATTATTGGAACGAAAGTTCCTTACGGCAGGCTTGGAGGCGTAAGGCTGAAAGGCGAATAGAGGCGTAAGGCCGGCACGCTATAGCGATAATTACGATTAAAATAGAATAGTTTGGTATCCGTTTCCGGGACGCCACACTTTGGCTTTATCAAGTACTCCGTCTAATTTATATTTAATTAAGCAGATATTGGTGTCGATTCTGGCGTGATTCTCTAAACTTAAAACTAAATTTAACATCAATCTCTCCTTTTCATTCCTTAAAGAGAATGACAAGGATACACTGTTGTCAAATTTAAGTTTAGGTTTAGAGAATCGTGTCAGAATTGACACCATTGTTCTTAAGCTAAGAAACCTTTTATTTAATTATGTTTATGTGTTTGCTTTCAGTGTCATTGAACTATTTGCCGTCTTATTTACTAAAATTTATAATATAATTATATGTAATTGTATGTTCTCACATTTTATAGTGGGTTGAAGGAATTCTTCTATCTGCTCCTTGTCAATAGTCGCCACTGCATGTTTCACGTAATTCTTCAAGTCCATCAGCCATTCTGGACCACTCGCTAAAAAAAGACACAAAACTGTGGAATATATTGTCGCCAGCAGTGTTTCCGGACCGATACGACCCAAAAACCTTCAAAAAAAGAGCGTACTCCTTCCTTAAAGGCCGGCATCGCATTTGTGATACTCCTGGTGTTGCAAGTATCCATGGGCGACGGTGATCACTTACCATCAGGTGAGCCGTCTGCTCGTATGCCACCTATAACATAAAAAAAAGACACGTTTTTTTTATTTTGAACATGAGGGTACCTTCCGCTTAAAACACACTGATTAACGACTCTTCGTAATATTGCCGATAAAGGTTGGTCGATTCTGCCATTGACCAAAAATTCTGCTATAATGAAGTAATAATTTCTGTGGTTATATCGTGAAGGCATCGTTGATGTTTTCAAGTGGTTCCGATTTCTGACACAGTTATTTTTCACACAACATACAATTACAAAATACCTACTGATAATTTGTGTTTGCTTTTATTGTTATCTTTTTAATGTACATTTGTTATTGAAGTTATACTTCTTTAGGCGCGTTATGAAAAAATGATGAGAGTGAAATTTTAAGATGCGCGCGCATCACTGTAACACAAAATTTTAACAGCGCCATCTCTTGATCATTGGTGTAGTAGAACCAAAAACCACATCTTTATTTTTTGTAATAAAGTAACAGTTATAGGTATTCATATTTATAATATTTATCCACATGTTTCTAGTTTGTATATTCGGAATACGTGTTTGAGTTTCATACAAGTGCAAATCACATATGTTCTAATAAATTATATTCAGTAGCGATTTTAATTGAATATTTTGATTATTTATTTATTTTTTCAAATTAAAACTGAACTTTATTGACTGTGTCCTTTCCCAGACTTTTTATTAATTTATTGTAATTAATTATTTGCATGCAATTAAAAACTAATTTTAAACGATGCCAAAGAAGGATAACTTCTCACGCGCCTACATAAGTACACGCACCCATTTTTTTTTATTCATAGTAGCAAGAAGTATGTTAAGGAAGCGATCGACCTCGTATTCAACATCATGTCAGCCGTATGACGCCCGCTGCTGAGCATAGGCCTCCCCCAAGGATCTCCACAGCGATCGGTCCTGCGCCACTCGCATCCATCGGCTTCCCGCGACCTTCACAAGATCGTCGGTCCACCTTGTAGGGGGCCTGCCCACTGAGCGTCGTCCGGTGCGTGGTCGCCATTCCAGAACCTTCCAGCCCAACGGCCATCGGTTCTTCTTGCTACGTGTCCCGCCCACTGCCACTTCAGCAGAGCAATCGTTCGAGCGATATCGGTAACTTTGGTTCTTTAACGGATTTCCTCATTTCTGATTCTATCGCGTAGGGAAACACCAAGCATCGCTCTCCGTTACTCGCTGTGTGACCTTGAGCCTTCTTATGAGACCCGCAGTAAAGGACCACGTCTCGCTTCCCTAGGTCATCACTGGCAACACACACTGGTCAAAGACTTTTGTCTTGAGACACTGAGGTAATTTGGACGCGAATATTTTTCGTAGCTTCCCGAACGCTTTATCCTCGTATTAAATCAGTAAAACTCGTTTTTACATTTATATTTCAATCGAATCTTTCCTCTTTATAATATTAGTATAGATAGGGATCATACTTAGTCTAAAACAAAAAGGGAAAACACGGTCCTCGCGGCTTAAAAGTGATCCGCTTAAATTGTGGTGCATGACCACAATTCGCTTTAGTCACAATTGGACATTCAAACACGCTGCATGTGCACTCAATATAACAATATTGCATATATTCTGTATTATAAAGATAAAACAATGCCTTCGATGCTTTAAAAAAGAACACAAGTTGTTCAAGATCAAATAACAAATACCACGGCAAGACTTTTCGTTCGTAAAACTATGAAAACATTTTTTTCTCAAAAATCACGGTTTGCCATGAATGTTAGTTATTGATTCGCCGTTTTTTATCAAGAAAAGGACAACAATACAGCTCAGCCGTCTGTAGAGAGAGACGACAAAACCCAGTCGGCCAAAACGACGGGGATGAAATTTTTGTCGCGTCGTACGATGGCCAAAAGTATCTAGTAGCTGGAATTAATCCGAATATTTCCTCGGAACACTCCCCGTGTTAAATATGGAAGTTTTCACATTAGCTCAGCAGAATTAACACAGTAGTACACGCATCAGTTGCGCACCTTAAATTTAATCAAGATTGGAGAGATTTCAGAGAAGTCTGTCTTCAGCAAAACTTGGTATCTATGGGTGTTTAACGTAAGCACTTTCCCTCCATGTGTAGGGCCGGACCGTGAGTTTAGGGGGCCCTGCCCCCTAGCATGAGTAACAAAACGCGATATGATAAAGCGATTTATCGACACTCAACTGTCAAACTCCATTGTAGTTTGACAGTTAATGTCGATAAATCGCTTTATCATATCGCGTTTTGTTACTCATGCTAGGGGGGCTGGGCTAATACTACTTAGGGTCCACTTAATTACTCAAAGTAAAGAAATAATCAAAATATTCAATTAAAATCGCTACTGAATATAATTTATTAGAACATATGTGATTTGCACTTGTATGAAACTCAAACACGTATTCCGAATATACAAACTAGAAACATGTGGATAAATATTATAAATATGAATACCTATAACTGTTACTTTATTACAAAAAATAAAGATGCGGTTTTTGGTTCTACTACACCAATGGTCAAGAGATGGCGCTGTAGTCTCCTGAATCGCGCTTTGGTTCCGTTGTTCCAGATTAATAAATACTTTTGATATTATAAATATGAATACCTATAACTGTTACTTTATTACAAAAAATAAAGATGTGGTTTTTGGTTCTACTACACCAATGGTCATGAGATGGCGCTGTAGTCTCCTGAATCGCGCTTTGGTTCCGTTGTTCCAGATTAATAAATACTTTTGATAGGCCTTCACAATGCAGTCGTTAGCACCCACTAAATAGAGATTCTATTTCTATTTTGTTGGTACATTGTCTTAATGTGCGGTAAACACAAAAGTAACGCATGAAGTTGGTCGCTCTACCAACTTCATGCTGTTAAAATTTTGTGTTACAGTGATGCGCGCGCATCTTAAAATTTCACTCTCATCATTTTTTCATAACGCCCCTAAAGAAGTATAACTTCAAAAAGCATTTACAATTTTTAAAAATCGCGTATATTTTAAAATCATTTAATCAGCGTAGTTTTTCTAAAGCGATGCCTCTAGAAATATTGTTGTTAATTAACTGCATCTGAATATCTTTTATATAATCATTGCTTTCAATTAATTTGCGCCTTTTTGCTTTTGCAATTCTTATTGTTCTCAAGACACTCAAGAGCCGTAATAAATTGTGGAAGAGTCAGGTGGACCACGGATAAAAATTATTTCCCGTGGTTCAACCAGGTGAACTACGTGAAACAAATATTCCCCATGGTTCACCTGGGTGGACTACGAGGTGGACCACGGGAAACAAAGATATTTAACGAGTCTGAAAGTTACTGTTAACTTCATGGTTTCCGATTCCCTTAACATCGTTGAAAGTGTGTGTTTATTAACCTCATATATTCTAAATCTAAAGAAAATATAACTAAATAAAACTAGTTTTTACGGGTTAATGCACGAAACTTTATTTATTTATTGACGTTTCGCAGCCTTTTCAGGTCTGCATCGTCAGAATAATGATTATTCTGACGATGCAGACCTGAAAAGGCTAACGCCCGTAAAAACTAGTTTTATTTAATGAATGATGTGCGTGAAAACCTAAGAAACAAATAAAATATAACTAGAAAAAAAAACGCGGACCAGGCAGCAGACGGGATTCGAACCCGCACCCTTCGCAATCCGGGCGAATGCACTGACCATTATGCTACCACGGCCCTATTAGCCGCGTCGAAATTTTCCTAGCCTTTAGCTGCAAGGCAGCGCCATCTCTTCGCATTGTAGGTAACCCACAATGTCAAATGAATACTTCAAGTATTAAACATTTGAAAGAAGAAATAGCAATTATAGTTATGATTTTATTTATTTTTTAAGCATTTAACTGCTAGATGTTTAAATCTAAAGAAAAGTTTACTAGAAAAAAAATCCACGCGGACCAGGCAGCAGACGGGATTCGAACCCGCACCCTTCGCAATCCGGGCGAATGCACTGACCAATTATGCTACTACCGTGGAATTTATTCTAGTTATATTTTCTTTAGATTTAAACATTAAGCAGTTACATATTATAAGAAAAACTAGCAAACCAGTGAACCAAATGTTCACCAAAAAAAAAATGTATTTAATTAATTGAGAACTTCGGAGATTTTGTGTGGTTTCGTTTGAAATAGAAATCACGTGATTTCTCGAAAACCGGAAGTGCTACGTTACTCACATCCGGTTTGTAGTCTTATCAGACTATTCTTAACTTATAACTTAAACATTCTCTATATCTATCTCTTACGGTTTGGCCGCTGAAACAGCACCACGGACGGACGGACGGACGGACTTGTCTAATAGATAAGAGATTATAACAAATATATTCTAACCGAAATTAAGTTTTGCTATCACAAAATACAATATTAATAAAATTGAAATAGAATAGAGTATAATATATTTTATTAACCCTTATTTACACATTTACAGATACAAATTCTAAAATCTCAGTGCTAACTAGAACCCTGCCTCAGCATTAGCTGATGCGCCACTGTGTCGCACCAGCGTTGTTATTCTGGCAGGGCCTGTTTAGTGACACAAAAAAAGACATGTACAAAAATTATTATCACTTGAAAGGCTGTATGGGCCTAGGATCCTTTGCTTTCAGTAAACAATAAATACATACGTTGCGATGCTGATCGTTTCGATGTCTGGAAGTTGATATTTGCTGTGCCTGCAGAAAGATATCAATGCATGTTTAGGTAAAATTTAAAACAAACCCTTTACGGTAAGACATCAGACGTATTTAGTGGAAAACCGCAAGAATAGGGTCATCATCATCAGCCTATTAATGTCCCCACTGCTGGGGCACAGGCCTTCCCTATGGATGGAATAGGGAGATTGGGCCATGACCCACCACGCTGGCCCAGTGCGGATTGGTGGGTGCTAACGACTGCAGATGCAGCCGGGACCAACGGCTTAACGTGCCTTCCGAAGCACGGAGGAGCTCATGTTATTAAATTTTTGGTCACCCATCCAATGACCGACCACTGCGAAAGTTGCTTAACTTCAACGATCGCAGCCGAACGCGCTAACCACTTCCGCCATCGAGCTCCTCAAGAATAGGGTATTTGACCGTATTAAAAATAAAGTGCCAATTGTTAGCATCTGTATTTAGAATGAATATTGGCAGGAGTTTTTACTATTTTTACAGAAAAAATATTCATAATTTTACTAAAAATCCACGATAAAAATAATAGTTTTCTTGTCTGTTATATATACGCTTGGGATTGGTGGAGCCGAAAATGACGTCACACGCAAGTAAACTTCCGGTTAGAGTGACATTTGATTGTATTGTTTGACGTTTTAATGAAAGTCATGTGACGTCACACACCAGTGAGACGCGGCAACTTGAAAATCGAGTTTTTGATTTGGTTTTTTTACCGAAATACACAACATAATGATGAATATCCACTTTTTATGGACTCTATAAACATTAGTAAATAACGTGATATAGTTTTCTAAAACTTGTCAAATACCCTATTACCCAAGTAGGAGAGTTGAAACATCTTCCGAAATAGGGATGATGACTAATTTTTTTTACTTCGTTTATCAGGTAGACTATCAAAAAGTATTGGACACGTATTTTTTCTTTTTTCACATAATATAAACATTGCAGAGATATATTTGGAAAGCTATTCAAAGGGGGAACGCTGCCAGTATCTTCGGAACCTTGCCTTAAGGGATTCCTTTAGTAATATATTTTAGTTATTATATTATATTTTTTAAAGGGTTTTAGTTTTAGACGTCACGTTTTGGTACAATTTTCACTTAAAAGTGACGTCACGAGCCCCTACTCCCAAACTTTGACGCGCTATAACTTTGTCATTTTTTGGTTGACTGCCCAAAGAAAAAATACGTGTCCATTATTTTTTGATCATCTAACTGACGGACCATAAATAGAATTTCATTTACTGTACCCCGTCATCACCTCTATTGTATTTCAATTTAGCGCAAAAAAAAACGTCAATTCGTTCGATACAATTTTAAAAGATGGTTCATCTCTCCCACCTGGGTAAGTCTTTCCTTTAAAACTCCTGTTATCTATGCATGCATGATCTTTAAGCTATGGGTTAGTTATGTTATAGACCCAACTAATGAACTGTTTTGTCTGAATATTAATTTATTTAGCACAAGCACAAAGTAGGTTCTATATGCAACAGGCGGTAAAGTAAGAAGGAAACGAAAATCGGTTGATTCCTTAGTGGATAGGAGAAGCTTGGTGCCTAGCGCGTTCGGCTGCGATTGTTGAAGCTAAGCAGCTTTCGCAGTGGTCGGTCATTGGATGGGTGACCAAAAATTTTCTATCTCGAGTTCCTCAGTGCTCCGGAATGCACGTTAAGCCGTTGGTCCCGGCTGCATCTGCAGTCGTTAGTGGGTCATGGAATAAACCCCATATTCCATCCACAGGAAGACCTGTGCCCCAGCAGTGGGGACATTAATAGGCTGATGATGATGATGAAAGTCCGTTTTACACACGAAAATAAAGTTACTATCAAACACTATTTCAGACCAACGGTTTCAGACAAATTATTGGTAAACAAGTTGCACCAATGAGATCCTTCAATAATGCTATGCCAACTTAAATAAATATACAAAAAAAATACATCGCATTCTTACCGTCTTTCTTGACTGAAATAAAAAATTAAGTACTTTCATAAAATGAACTTGCTAATATACAAAAAGAAAACAAGAACTGACTTATTCCACAGTAAAAAATTACCTTCAACATACAATAATAAATTTTGTTTCTTCTCGGTTTCTGAAACATCAAAATGAAATTTTTAGTTTTGGTGTATTCACCAAAGATATTAAATACCATAGATACACCACGAGCGCTCAAAATGTGTCCCAATCAAGAAGTGCTTGAACTCCACTCAAGCACTTCTTGGTTCACAGTCACGCGCGGACCGTTACAAAGTCAAGATAAGATGCCACAGAGCTCCGCGAAAAAATGCGAAAATAGTACTTAGAGTACGAAAAGTGTAGTTTTTTCGACAGGTATCTAGTCAATGTTTGTTAATTTAACGCATTTGAAGTAAATTTTGATCTAATCCTTACTATAAACTGATTTAATATAAAATATTTGTGATATTCAAATGCATGGTTGCTTATACGTCGCCATACAGCCGTCTCTTTTCCTCGCGGTCCGTGCCTGCTGTATAACTAACAGCGCGTTCCGAATTGCGCGTAGAGTCAAAGTACTAAGGTCTAAATTCTTCCGCAAATAGCAATAAGTCGTAAAATTTTACGAGCTTGCATTTCGAACTGTCGAAGTCCTTGACGTATACGTTTTATTTAAGACCTTACAGTAGTATTAAAGGTTACTTTCAATGTTTAAATAATGCCTTATAATGATTTTGACTACGCGATCATCTTACGGAGCTCCGTGGATCGTTCAATGTACCTTTTGGACAGGTTTTACACATGATTTTGTTCGTGTTGATGTATTTAGGGTATTTAATATCTTTAAAATTTGTTCTAACAGTTGGATAAGGCGAAAAATATAGTGATTACGTACTCATAAGCGCTAACTACCTCTTCGTCTCAGTTAATTCGATTAAACACAAACTCCAAACTTTATAAAACATAAGGCCATGTATGTATCCAGACTCAACTGACACTTAACATCAGGAAGGTAATAAGAATGGGTTGATTAACTGAGAATTCCATTTAATTTACAAAAAGTCAAAACGTACAAACCTTCAACCAGCTTTTTGATGTAAGGATCGGCTCCTACATATCCGTGATCGTCCACCAAATCAAATATCTTCGCGCGCATCTCGTCTAACCAGTTACCGCTCACTTTTGAGTCCAAAAGCTCTATGGAAATGCAAATATTAATGAAATCCCATCACACAAATATTATAAAGGCGAAAGTTTGTAACTGTGTATGTTTGTTTTTTTTTTATGTGATAGGGGCTAGGGGCTCACCTGATGGTAAGTGATCACCGTCGCCCATGGACACTTGCAACACCAGGAGTATCACAAATGCGATGCCGGCCTTTAAGGAAGGAGTACGCTCTTTTTTTGAACGTTTTTGGGTCGTATAGGTCCGGAAACACTGCTGGCGACAACATATTCCACAGTTTTGTCGTACGTGGTAAAAAATTTCGACAAAAACGCACGGTTGTGGATAGCCACGCATCAAGATGATGGGGATGAAATTTTTGTCGCGATATACGATGGCGAAATGCAGCAGCTGGAATTAATCCGAACAATTCCTCAGAACACTCCCCGTGATAAATGCGATAGAAGATGCAGAGCGAAGCTACATCCCTACGCAAAGCCAAAGGATCAAGCTGATCGGAAAGGTCCTGGTCGTCGACGATTCGAGCCGCTCGGCGCTGGATGTGACCCAAAGGGAGAAGCTGGTACTGGGATGCCCCCGCCCAAAGATGAGAGCAGTACTCCATGTGAGGATGTTGTTACTTCTTCACGGCTAAACGGCTAGAGCGATTTTAATAAAATTTGGTAGGGAGTTAGTTGACATCCTGGATTAACACATAGGCTACGTTTTACTGCGGGAAAATATGCCTAATAAACAGCGGGTAACACCGCGGGGCACAGCTAGTAATACATGTATGCGGAATAAAAAGCAAGGAGAGGAGCTCGATGGCGCAAGTGGTTAGCGCGTTCGGCTGAGATCGTTGAACTAAAGCAACTTTAGCAGTGGTCGGTCATTGGATGGGTGACCAAAAATTACTATTTCGAGCTCCTCCGTGCTTCGGAAGGCACGTTAAGCCGTTGGTCCCGGCTGCATCTGCAGTCGTTAGCACTCACCAATCCGCACTGGCTCATGGCCCAATCTCCCTATTCCATCCATGGGGACCCACCCCCACAGCCGTGGGGACATTAATAAGCTGATGATGATGATCCAGGTCATAACTATGTGCGGAACAAATTTCATCTAAATCCATTCAGTAGGTACCTAGGTTTTGGGTGATTGAGTATAACAGACAACTTTAATATTTACAATATTGTTGGATGATTTGCCCCTTATTTCTTTTTAAGAGAATATGTTTGCTAAACACTGTGATAGTATCAATGAGTAACAACTTAGAAAGTCATATTTAAACTTTTTTAAGCCGTACCCTTTTCCAATTGGGGTGATGACGGGGTACAGTAAACGAAATTCTATTCAGTCCGTCAGTTTGATGATCAAAAAATAATGGACACGTATTTTTGCTTTGGGCAATCAACCAAAAAATGACAAAGTTATAGCGCGTCAAAGATTTGGAGTAGGGGCTCGTGACGTCACTTTTAAGTGAAAATTGTACCAAAACGTGACGTCATGCGACTTCTCAAATCAATATATCTCTGCAATGTTTATATTATGCGAAAAAAGAAAAAATACGTGTCCAATAGGTACTTTATGATAAAATCTACCTGATAAACGAAGAAAAAAAAATAGTCATCATCCCTATTTTATTTAGCTATGTTACGCATATATTGTTGGCTTGGCTATATACATAAATCACAAAAAATAATTCTTGACGACCTATTGAAAAAACTCATTACGTTGAAAGTATTTGTGTAAGTAAGAGCGATGATATTAGGAACATTTTTATAATTTCATCTTGTTAATGGCATGGGTAGGTAATGAAATTGAAAGTCTAAACAGGTCGGCCATTGTCTAAAGCTTGGCGGGCGCAGTTTAAGTATGGCGGTTAACTTTCTTACAAAATATTAAATAAATAAATATTTCCAACACTCACACCAATTTAAAGATAAACTCAAATTGCCACCATTGAGACTCCAAAAGGTTCTTGGTTCATTTGTGGGTCAAGGTGTATGTTACTATAATAAAATACCAAAAGAAATAATTAATTTACCTTTTAATAAGTTTAAAGTGTATATAAAAACATGTCTCCTTAAGAAAGGTTACTATACTGTAAAAGATTTCATAAATGATAAGCCACCTTGGGCTTAACATAATAGACTGTCGTTTTACTTTGCTAATTTGGTTGAAAATTGTTTAATCGCCACTTCTAAATTTAAAAATAGTACCTAGTTATACTTAACTTTTGTTAATTAATAATATTAATGTGATGGAAGTTGACATCAACACATGTATTCAATTTTTGATGTCATCTTTCAATTGACGACACTGTGTGAAACAAAACAGGGAGAAAAACATAGCCCTTGCTGAGTTTCTTGCCGGTTCTTCTCAGTACAAGGTCTCCCGCCGTAGATTTACGAACCGATGGCGTAGCGTTTGACTTTCACAAGAGCTTGTAACAGCCTAGACTGAATAAATGAGTTTGAATTTGAATTTGAATTAGCGTAGCCCCAAAGTAAGCACTGTAAGGCTTGTGTTATGGGATACTAGGTGGTGAAGCCGAATGGGCTCGGTAAGGATATCTGGTGGGGTCGAAACCCCGGAGAAATGGACTGTAGGTGTGGTTCGAAGTAATAAGGGGGTGTGGTTTATGGGATAGGATGAGGACAAAAACACTGTGCTTACTTGAGGGCCTCGATGGTGGCGCTGGCTCATACGCCGGCTTCTCCTGCAGCAGTCTTGTCCTGATGCCAGCAGTTCAAGATGGGGGTCAAGAAAGTCCTTTTTGATAGCTATCACCAATCACACACAAACCTCCTATTTGCGAGAAAACTGTTCACTTAAAGATTGTTTATTAATCTTCACACTTATTTATATGAGTTTAATGCGGAAAAATATCTATATCACAATTGTTGGGGAGCGATGAAAAATACGACCATTTCGTCCTTACGCGGTGACAGAACTTTTTTCTTTTGTTGATGCGGTGACAGCCTGCTGACAGAGCCATTTCCTTCCGGCCATCCGTCGTTGCAGGCAAATATATTGCGTCTTCTTCCCTCATAAGGCACAGTGTTTGAAGGAGAAGGATCTATTGGGATGCGGTTAATTCGAAAAGAGAATGACACGGTATGAAATTTAGAGACTAGAATATGTTTTGGCGTTACCACTAGGGTTACGGATAGAATACATATTATACTGTATATAAATAAGTACATTTATATAGAAATACATATTAAACATCCATGACTGGAGTACAAATGCTCGTTTTCATCACACAACTATCTGCCCCAACCGGGATTCGAACCGAGACCTCTCTAGTCGGCGACACCATGAAACCCGGCGTACAAACCACTCGGCCATGGAGGTCGTCAAATTATGAGTTACTAGCAAACCAGGGAATCAAATGTGCACCAAAACCTAATTTAAAAAAAAAATGTATTTAATTAATTGAGAACTTTGGAGATTTAGTGTGGTTTCGTTTGATATTCGTGATTTCTCGAAAACCGGAAGTGCTACGTTACTCAAATCCGGTTTGTAGTCTTATCAGACTATTCTTAACTTATAACTTAAATATTCTCTTTATCTATCTCTTACGGTTTGGCCGCTGAAACAGCACCACAGACAGACGGACGGACTTGTCTAATAGATAAGAGATGCTTAGACCAAACTTATCCTCATCTTTTACTAGATATTGATTTATTAAAACCGGTCGTTGTGTGTAGCCAACAATGCAATTGAGAATGAATGAATGAAATTGATTGATACAGTGAATGATTTATCTAAATGATCGTAATGCATGGACATAGTGTTTCTTGTAATTTGTTTTTTGATGGGTATTAGTCAGTTTTTGTAACAGTAATATGGTACTTATCTAATGCCGCTTCCTATATACTAAATATAAAATTTATTGTAACTATATATCTATATCCTAAATGATGTAATGGAAGGTGACTTCGGAAGTATGTCTGAAGTCATTTTTCAACTTGACGACTCTGTATATATCAATACAGGGAGAAAAAAGCAGCCCTTGCTTGCTGAATTTCTTGCCAGTTCTTCTCAGTACAAGGTCTCCCGCCGTAGTTTTGCGAACCGACGGCGTAGCTTTTTGACCTTCACAAGTGCTTGTAACAGCCTAGACTGAATAAATGACTTTTCATTTCATTTCATTTCAATGACTATAAAGAAGGTTATTGGTAGCCAAAATTAATCTGAAGTGCTTATCTGTAAGAACCAATTTACTTCTCACCACGGTATTCATCGGTGAGGAGCTCGACGGCGCGGGTAGTAGTAATAGGTTATCGCGTTCGGTTGCGATCGTTGAAGTTAAGCAACTTTCGCAGTGGTCGGTCATTGGATGGGTGACCAAAAATCTTCTTGTTGAGTTCCTCCGTGCTTCGGAAGGCACGTTAAACCCGTTGGTCCCGGCTGCATCTGCAGTCGTTAGCATCCGCCAATCCGCACTGAGCCCGCGTTGTAGGTCATGGCCCAATCTCTGTATTCCACCCATAGGGAAGGCCTGTGCCCCAGCAGTGGGGACATTAATAGGCTGATGATGATTCGCCGGTGTGCTTCGAAAATGTGAAATTCGTATTCACAACTAATTTTAAATCACAACGCGGATTCCGTGGCATGGTTTATCTAATCTTATAATATAGGCACTGCTGTTAGCTGCCCCACATTTGTCCCACGTAAGCACGTGATTGTACGCAACAAACAAGTACAGCAAGTTGAAAGTGAAGTGAATGTAATACTTAATTTGGCAGACAAAGTATATGTTTCCGTAGTGTAGCGGTTATCACGTGTGCTTCACACGCACAAGGTCCCCGGTTCGATCCCGGGCGGAAACAGGCATTCGTTTTTTGGACATTTTAAAAATTCAATATTTTTTTGAAATAACACTCTTTTCGGTTGGTATATAAATGGAAAAATCCTGTGGAAACGATGAACCGAAAATGCGCCGAGCGTCACACGAATATGTATATACTAGTGGCCCGCCCTCGCTTCGCTTCGGTGTAGAGCTGTAGTGTAAACTACAGTTTTTGTTCTCAGGCTTGTGCTATAAACGATGACTTTATTTATATAATTATATAAATAAAGTCATCGTGTAATTACACGTGTTATTGTGAGTCAACCATAAAAGATAGACATATGCTGTTGCGGGATATTTTTTAGACAATTTTATGTAGAATATTTCCGTCATACATGAGTTCTATGTAACTTTAAGCATTAAGGCTGCACACGCGACGGAAGCTTAAAAAATGGAGTAACATCTCCCGTTTTCCCAACATTTCCCTTCACTACTCTGCTCCTATTGATTGTAGCGTGATGAAAAGTATACTATAACCTGCCCAGGAGTATGAAGAATAATTGTACCAAGTTTCGTCAAAATCCGTCGAGTACTTTTTGTTTCTATAAGGAACATACACACAGACAGACAGACAGACAGACAAAATTTTTACTGATTGCATTTTTGGCATCAGTATCGATCACTTATCACCCCCTGATAGTTATTTTAAAAATATATTTCATGTACAGAATTGACCTCTCTACAGATTTATTATAAGTATAGATATTACATACATATCGACCTATGCATAGAATAAAGTT